GCAGCCGTCCGCGCAGCCAAGCTCGCTCATCACCAGCGGCTTCTTCTCCCCATCCATTTCCAGCCACGCCGTTGCACTCGCGCCATCCACAACCGTCCGCGCAGTTCTCCGCACCCATTTGCCGTCCGCAGCCGTCCGCGCAGCCAAGCTCGCTCATCACCAGCGGCGTCTTCTCCCCACCCATTTCCAGCCACTCCCTTGCACCCACGCCGTCCGCAGCCGTCCGCGCAATTCTCCGCACCCATTTGCCGTCGCCGTCCGCGCAGCCACGCTCGCTCATCCCCAGCGGCTTCTTCTCCCCACCCATTTCCAGCCACTCCCTGGCACCCACGCCGTCCGCAGCCGTCCGCGCAGTTCTCCGCACCCATTTGCCGTCCGCAGCCGTCCGCGCAGCCAAGGTCGCTCATCACCAGCGGCTTCTTCTCCCCACCCATTTCCAGCCACTCCGTTGCACCCACGCCGTCCGCATTTGCCGGCAGCCGTCCGCTCCATTCCTGTCCCTTCCTTTCCCTTCCTGTCCCTTCCCAGCCACTCCGTTGCACCCACGCCGTCCGCAGCCATCCGCGCAGTTCTCCGCACCCATTTGCTGTCCGCAGCCGTCCGCGCAGCCACGGTCGCTCATCACCAGCGGCTTCTTCTCCCCACCCATTTCCAGCCACCCCCTTGCACCCACGCCGTCCGCAGCCGTCCGCGCAGTTCTCCGCACCCATTTGCCGTCCGCAGCCGTCCGCGGAGCCAAGGTCGCTCATCACCAGCGGCTTCTTCTCCCCACCCATTTCCAGCCACTCCGTTGCACCCACGCCGTCCGCAGCCGTCCACGCAGTTCTCCGCAGCCATTTGCCGTCCGCAGCCGTCCGCGCAGCCAAGCTCGCTCATCACCAGCCGCTTCTTCTCCCCACCCATTTCCAGCCACCCCCTTGCACCCACGCCGTCCGCAGCCGTCCGCGCAGTTCTCCGCACCCATTTGCCGTCCGCAGCCGTCCGCGCAGCCAAGGTCGCTCATCACCAGCGGCTTCTTCTCTCCACCCATTTCCACCCACTCCGTTGCACCCACGCCGTCCGCAGCCGTCCGCGCAGTTCTCCGCACCCATGTGCCGTCCGCAGCCGTCCGCGCAGCCAAGGTCGCTCATCACCAGCGGCTTCTTCTCCCCACCCATTTCCAGCCACTCCGTTGCATCCACGCCGTCCGCAGCCGTCCACGCAGTTCTCCACACCCATTTGCCGTCCGCAGCCGTCCGCGCAGCCAAGGTCGCTCATCACCAGCGGCTTCTCCTCCCCACCCATTTCCAGCCACTCCGTTGCACCCACGCCGTCCGCAGCCGTCTGCGCAGTTCTCCGCACCCATTTGCCGTCCGCAGCCGTCCGCGCAGCCAAGGTCGCTCATCACCAGCGGCTTCTTCTCCCCACCCATTTCCAGCCACTCCGTTGCATCCACGCCGTCCGCAGCCGTCCACGCAGTTCTCCACACCCATTTGATGGCAGCGTCTTTCGCTCCATCCTTTCCCTTTCTTTTCCCTTCCTTTCCCTTCCTTTCCCTTCTTTTCCCTTGCTTTCCCTTCCTTTTTCCTTCCTTTCCCATCCTTTCCCTTCCTTTTCCTTCCTTTCCCTTCCTTTCCCTTCCTTTCCCTTCCCTTTCCCTTCCTTCCCCATCCTTTCCCTTCCTTTCCCATCCTTTCCCTTCCTTTCCCTTCCTTTCCCTTCCTTTCCCTTCCTTTCCCTTCCTTTCCCTTCCTTTCTCTTCCTTTTTCCTTCCTTTTTCCTTCCTTTCCCTTCCTTTTTCCTTCGTTTCCCTTCCTTTCCCTTCCTTTCCCTTCCTTTCCCTTCCTTTCCCTTCCTTTCCCTTCCTTTCCCTTCCTTTCCCGTCCTTTCCCTTTCTTTCCCTTTCTTTCCCTTTCTCTTCCTTTCTCTTCCTTCCTTTCCCTTCCTTTCCCTTCCTTTCCCTTCCTTTCCCTTCCTTTCCCTTCCTTTCCTTTCCTTTCCCTTGCACCCACGCCGTCCGCACACCACCGTTCGAGCCAGGTCGCTCCCCCACGCGGTTAAACAACTAAACGAGAACCCAAGCATCGAAGATGCTTTTGGGAAAAACAAGCAATGGAACCCACATGATGTGTGTCGAAAACGATAAACATAGACTAATGAGCTACCGTCCATGACATTAACATCTGACAGCTGACGAAGACTATCAAATTGATCCAAAGGCCGGAAGACCACATCTACAAAAGATCTGGAAAACGCCAGCGAATAAACATCCACGGATCATCCTAGATTGCCATCTTTTCTATTCCTGGAATCAGTAGACACTCTCAAGATCTCTCAAGAACAACAAAAGGGAAACACATGGGGCACGGTTGTGTTTAAATCGTGCTAGCTCCCCATTTTGGCTTGAGAAGATAAAACATGTGGATTCCTCATAGTTTTTGTGTGCTTCTATCCCGCTTGTTGCTAGTGAAAGCAATTGTTGCATTTGGGTTTACATTACCACCATGTTTCTTCACTAAATTCACATGTTTTCTTGGTTGAACTCACATAGACAACTTACGTCATGTAATACGTGTAATATTAGATCATGCTTATTTAAACTTCCGCCCTGGTGTTACTTGGCTTCGCCCCCACTCATCGCCTCTTCAACGGATGCGCTTTGAAGCACCTGACGGGCGGTTTCTGCAGCCTCGGCAGGACGGGAAAATCTGGGAAGTTTCGAAAAAATGGGTTTCTCTGACGGGGTACCCCCAAAACCATTGGTTCAGTTCATCACCATTTTCACCATTAACATGTTATTCTTGGGGGTATATAGCGGTATACCCCGTTTTCAGACACCCACGCAGGAGCATTGTCAAATTGCGGAAGTGGTCTGAGAGTTTTGTGAAATATGGAGGAGTATCAAACGGATGGATTTCCGAGCCTGCGAGTTTTGTTTACAGTTTTGTTTTTACTTGGTTTTGGGCCATGGGGGTGCAAGCCACCCTGAAACTTTTTGGAGGCATCCTAAAGAAGCAGCTGGAAGATAATTGTGCCATAAGAACTGACAACGTTTGGGGTGTTTCCTGTTGAATTTTGGGGGAGTGTAGCTCACCTATATAATGATATTCAAATGGCCACAAACTGTACTTGGATCATGCCAGCAGCCGCATCTCAAGAAGTCATTCCGACCCAGTCCAAGACCCTCCGCATGGGTTACCCTGTCGGGCCTGCACAGCCACTTCCGCACCCAGACTTGCTGGGAATGCAATGACCTGACAGTGAAAATAACCACGCTTCACAGGGCTTCCAATTCATCCAGCTACTGCAGTAGCTATGTGAAGTCTCCAACTCCAAGTTTATCCTTATCCTATCTATTCCTATCTATTCCTATCTATACATGTCTATATACTATGTCCATACTATGCAATTCTAACTAACCATACCACCAGCAAAGTCCAAATCATTCACCCCCCCCACATGGCTTTCTGCCTGAGGCCCCAGGCGTAGTCAAATCTCATGGCTTCTTGCAAGCGTCGCTGCTCTAAACGACGAGCACCCGGGCAGCTCTCACCGGCGTAGGTACGAATGTCCTGACACGAGATCTGGGCACACCTCGTGGAGCAAACATGGGAAAAAGTCCATCCCAGCTAGCATTGGGTTGGTTGAAGGATGTTGACGGGAAAACTTACAAGACACATCAAGAAACCATATAATTCGTAATTATCGGTTGTTGCAGAACCTTTTCCCCCCGACCAGTTCTGGGAAACTGTGCAAGTGAGAGTGGTGCGAAGTCAACCTCATCAATCAATAGATCCTCAGATCCATGTTCTTCTGAGTTTGCACCAATGATTAGTCTATCAGTCTGGGTAACCTTCTCATGTTTGCAGGGGTACCCATGTCAGTAACACTCAGTCAGGTCATCCATGCAATGCCAGAAATCCCAAAGACGTCCTGCACGTATTGCGCTTCTACCGCTGCAACTCGAGAAACCATCTGAGCCGGGGCTGTCAAGGACCGCTCTGGAAATGTCAACCTAAAACCAAGCTGGAAGCCGGGAGGCTGAGGTACATAGTCAGTACTGATCTGTTTGGTAGTTTCAAGCCGCCTGAAAATCTCAGTTTTTGGTTACCATGCGACAAGCGCACCACTGCAGCCCACATGCCACCGTGAAAAAAAAAGTAAGTAAATCATTGGGGATAATCATCCCATGTGTGGATAAGCAACAAAAGGATATTTGAACCCACCTATCAGAAGTCATCTCAGTGGATATGTGTAGATCTGTGTAGATACCTTCTCGAAGAATGATCATTTGCGATCAGGTCATGGATCAAGTACCAGCAACTGGACAAACCAAATCTCCATAGATTTCGTAGTTCAGAGCTGACCGTCTTTCGGAAAGGAAAACATGCATATATCATCATATATCTATCAACAAGAAGCGATATCTGCAGGATAACTGAGGTATAGCCAGGTATAGGTGGTTCAACTCCCAGCTTTTCCTACAAGGTGATGAGCAGACCATCGGTGGAACATGGGTTCTTCCACGAATTTTGAGCCATCCCACTGCTCCCCGCGGAGGGGAGATGGATCAAAATGTGATAGTTCAAATTCCCAGAGTGACACAAAATGACACAAAATGACACAAATGTATGCAAAAATCATCCAAATCTGTGGTTCCTGCTGCTATTGCCCCATACCGCCCATACCCCCTTACCAGTCCACAGGACTGTCGCTCGCCTTTCGGATAGCTTCCTTCGCATCGGATGATTCTGCAAAGACTCCAGCATCGGACACGGACAAAGTCATGCCTCACCAGTCGCAACTTGTCTTCCCACCAGAAAGATAGGATGCCCATTCAAGCAAAACTTATATGAGGGCCAAGACATTCTCTTCACGAACACCCAAATGATATTGGGATGCCTACCCCTTTGGGTTTACTCTGAACATGAGGGATAAAGTACCCCAAAATTCTGCAACTTTTTTTAGGGCAAAAATGATGAAACCACCGGATTTGGGGTCGCTTTTCATCAAACCTTGAGGCCCTGGCAACCTTCCACAGTGGCCGGAGCCTCTTCAGTGACTGTCACCTCCACAGTTTTGCGGAACGGCTGAAAATGAAATCAACCAAGAATGTGTCGGCAAAATTGGATTAGACCATTGAAGCAAAATGGGAAAATAGGAGGGCTGACGGGCTGACCACCGAATTGGCCAGTAATAAACATGGAACATGCAGGCAACCACCAGTTACGAAGATCATCTTCTTCAGGGGTTAACCACTATTCAACCACCAAAAGTGCTGTTTAACCGCCCCAAAATAGGGAAGTATAGCGACTCTTGATCAACCAAGAAAACTCTGGCCATGGAAATGGTAAGGATGTTGAGGTAAACTCGAAACCACAAACCGGACCTTGCTTTAACATTTGGGCATGGTTTTGGAAACCTCGAAACCAACTAGGTTTTCTTGGGGGTTTGCAACGGAACAATCTGTAAACGATGCAAATTCCCAAGGTCTCAAAAGAACGGGCCCAAGGCCATACAGGCTGTGGTCAAAACCCAAAAGGTCTGGAAATACTAAATTACTAAATATGAATTCATATGAATTCATACAATCTGGATACCAGTCTGTGATACCAGTTTCTTCGTAAGGGTTTGGATAATGGCTTTGGATCATCCAGTCCGTGATAAACCCTGCATAATCATCATGTCTGGGTTGAAGCCACATTGGTGGAGTGCTCCACTTTCTGTAAAGAAACAGGACCGTGGCTGGAAATCTGTCCCAAGTACCTTCAATCGATTGACCCCCAAGAAGTCTGGGCACAAAAACAAAAACCAGCAGGGTGGGTCTGCCGCAAAATTGTTGATCCTTCAAAATTGGATAGGAGTCTGACAAAAGGATCTAAAATAAAGATTGGAGACCGTTTAAAATCAGACAAGAGATATGTAAAATAGTATATATAATATTTGCTTAATACAGTATAACATAAGATGATATGATATGATACGATATGATATACAGTAATATAAATATAACTATACATATAAACTGGTATATAGATATAATATAATTTAATACAATGTGAATATAATGCACTATAATACATAATAAATATCATGTAATATAACACATTAAATATATATATATATATATGTAAATACATATAAACAATATAAATATGATTACGCTATAATGTATAAAAACATAATATAAACAAATATAAAGTACTATTAATTGTATAATAGCATACAATACAACATAATATATATATAGTATAGAAAAAAACGAAAACATACTATAATACAAGACATAAAAAACAATAACAAAGTCATAATAAAACAGAATGTAATATAATGTAATACGGTTTAAAGAAAAACACCTCACAACAAATAAAATACTATACATCACATAATATAATATATCGTTTAGCACAACATAAATTGATACGGTACAAACACATATATGTATATATAACAATACATAATAAAACATGATATAACATAAAAGAACATCATACAATATAATATATATATAACATAATGACACAACATATACAATACTAAAATAGAATTAAAAAAAGAACATACAATAACATAATACAACATACTATAATATACTATACTATAATAAAATATAATATAACAAAATATACTACAATATAATATAGTATAGTATGACATACTATACCATAATATAACATATTATACTTTACTAAATTATATAGTAATATAACATAGTATAGCATATAAAATAATAAGATTCGAGAAAATATATATATATATAATGCGTTCATACTGAACTAATCCCACATGTTGCATCTTGTCCCTGTTCCATCATTACTCCCAATGTTAATTTTGCATCGGTATTCCTCGCCACCCGCCCACCGTCGTCGTGGTCAGACTAGTCCAGGTCGATGTGGTTGTCATGGAGCTCTCTGTAAAGCTGGAACCTCTGCCATGCCATGCCACCACTTTGGGATTTACCATCTGGTAACGCAACGAACTGGAACATAGGGATTTATCATCATAAATCAGCTATGGGGCATCTTCCATAGCTGTGTTAAATAACCAGAGGGTAAGAGTGATTGATTGGGCAATTAACCAACAAACATGGGAATATAATAGGGGTTTAATGGGGATATGATAGGGATAATGTGATTGAGCTGTGTCAGAAAATGGGGTACATCCCCGAAGTTGCAATTTTTATGAGGAAAATGATTTCCTAATCACTTGCAAATTGGAAAATGAACCACCGAAAAAAGGAATTGCCATGAATTGACCAAGAAAAAAGTCGATAATCGGACATTAGGGAGGATTCAAGAGCTTAAACAACCGCTGTTCACGGAGGTGATTTTGACTGAAATTCAACGGAAAACTGCGGGGAACCCCACAACAAATAAACAAATAAATAGATAAGCAAACAAATACATAAATTTAAAATATAATATATATATATACACACATATGGTTATTGCCACATATTACCACCCAAAAACAAGTTACTGTAAAAACCAAGTGAAACGAGTTTGGGTCACCAATGTTGGTACAACATAGCAGGGAGTGACAAGCCAGTATCTGTGAGATTCTCTTAATCAGTCAGCATCCGTGTGTTTTGCTCCCGAGGGGCTGGTTCTTGTGGTTGATGATGTGACCTCGGCTTTGACAAGGCCACAAGCTGCACAACAGTCTGATGCACTCCCACGCTAAAGGCCTGGACCCTTAGGGGAAAAGGGGTGAGATTCCACTGAACAAAAACATTAGCCAACTTGGACCGACATCCCAAGAAGATTGGAAAACCTATGTTTCAAACAACCAACTAGCATCTCTAGCATCTCTTTCAGCTTGATCATCCCTTTCATGGGCAATAGCGGTTTCTATCAACCCCAAAGCACCAGGAAATTCCAAAGCAGTCAAGAGGCTGTGATGCTGATTGTCAAGGTAGTAGATGTAGTTGTGGTACCTGGGGATGGGTCAAGTCGCTATCCCGGCTCTATGATGCGCTACGGGTCACCCAAACTAGCTGTCATTGTGGATGTTCATCCCATAATTCTCCTGATAGCATAGGATAGGTATTGACCTATCCCCAATTTTTTTTCCGCTCGTGCTTTGGAATCCTGGGGAACGGGGGATCTAGTTGAGGAGTCAGAACCACAAAAAACATCAAAAAACAACAAGACACAAATGCCTGAGTCAAGTGGAAACACAGACCTTGCGGTCCTTGCTCTGTCTTTTCCCTGTGTTTTTTTCCCACCGGAACAAAAACACTTGACATCTTGCCAGGACGGTCCGAAGAAATTGCCAAGCGACAAAAACATACTGTTCAGTCCATAGTGCCCTGGGTATAGCGATGGTGGGATCAGCCCCCAGTCAATACAAACATTGGAACAACAAATCCCCAGTCTGCCAACATGTTGCACAGCCACTTCGGCCTATGCGCGGTCTCAGCCATGTAAAGGAAACAAAGGTGTTTGATTTACAACAGCCAGGTAAGCACTTACAGTAGTTCGACTGTTTATAGGTCATATATCCATATCCCAAGTTTTGATGTTTAAAATGCCATGTGTTTGTTGTAATATCATCTCGCTGATTGAAACCACCTTTTTGTTTTCGGTGATGACCATCCGCCCGGTCGGCACGTTCAAAGATTGGAATTGTCGTAGCCAGGTTGTCCTGCGAAATGGTGTTTTTGCCATATCGATGTTGTCTGAAAATTAGGGACTTACCAACAAATTATGTTTATTCAATACATTTCAATACTCATATGGTTAAAAACAAACGGCAAATGATGATAGTCGATCAAATTTGGGGGTACCCTATTGTCAGATAAACCCATCTATGAATTTTCCGGTCCTTTGTGATACCTAATTTGTAGTGTTTCACAGTTTCCGAATTCCGAGCACTCAAGCAGGATCAAACTGTTTCACATGTGGAGCATCCTTTCCTACAAACGTATACAGTATACAAATGCTTCCGGTATATCATCTATGCCTTATATAATGTTTATGGCGTAACATCCTCTTCCACATATGCTCTATGTTTTTGATAGACTTGCCAAAACTATGTTTGGAACATGTCCGGGGTAAATCAGAATGGATCCAAATTGATCCAAACTGGGGTACCAATGGACCCACAAAAATTGCATATTTTCATATTAAACCATCCATGCTGGGTTGGTGAACTTGACCCATACCCAAACGGCTGTGCTTCAAAAGCCTGGTACCTTTCTGTCCACAACACAATAGTCTCAAAATATGGATGCTGATTTCTCCAACTGTTTTTTTTTCTGACTCCCCGAGTCTTTGTCAACATACCATCTATGCCGCGCTCCTGCAATGATGAAATCGCCAAAGCCGTTACAGCCTCATTCTGCAAGGTCACTTGGATCGTCACAGGATGGACAATTCATATATGGCCATGGGTGAAAAGCCTGGTGCCCTGGTGAACATCTAAAACAGCTGGTAAATGGATGGTCGGAGGGTCATCTCCGTAAAATATTGTCGAAGGGAGTTTAGAAACCAAACTTCCGACAATATGGACAGATGAAAAGCAGAGATGGGAAGGGTCAGAGAAGAGAAGAAAAGAAGAAAGAACAATCAAAAAAAGATCAGAAGAAAGAAGATCCATTGATTTGTGGCTCCGGAAGGTCGAAAAGTAGGCTCGCTAAAGCGGCGGCTGCGAAGCCAGCTGGCCAGATGAGAGATGAAAAATTGCACGCTGTCGTGGCGCGAAGCACATTTCCAAGTCAAAATGTACAAAGCACACCAATGCTCGGACCACTTTTGGAAGTTGTGATGTCGAAAAAGTGCATGCCGTTGTGGCGCGAAGCACATTTCGAGGTCAAAATGTTAAAAAACACTATCTACATGTTCGCACCTCTTTTGGATGTTCAGATGTCGTTTCGCGTGGCAGGCGCAAGGGATTGGGCACCTTGTCAAAAGTGAGAAAAACGTGAGGGTTTTGTAGCATTTCCAAAAACGATGGCAGGCGTGGGACATTTGAAGAGGATCTGGCAAGATGAATTTTCCGTGGCAGGCGCAGTACAAGAGACATCTTCATCAGAGATGTTAGGAGGTCCGGGCGCTGATTTCCTGAGCGGGGTTGCATTTTGGAGCATCAGATCTTCAGTTTTGGGAAGGTGATTTTGCGTGACAGGTGCAGCACTTCGTATGACCTGGCATCACTTTTTCGTGGCAGGTGCAGTAGATTGGACAGGTGGAGTGGGAAAATCAGAAAACGCATTGGTACGAGGCCGTCAGCTCTGCACTCAACTTTCCATTTTTGAAGGAAGTCTCGCAGAGTTGTTTCGTTTTTGATGTTGTCAACTTCGAAAAATGAGGAAGTCTCGGGGAATTGTTTCGTTTTTGATGTTGTCAAGTTCAAAAGTTGAAGAAGTCTCGCAGAATTGTTTTGTTTTTGATGGTGTCAAGCTCAAAACTGAGGAAGTCTCGGAGAATAGCTTCGTTTTCAAGCTTGCAGATAAACAGATAGATAGATACACAACTACAACAACAAGTACCACTACACTACACTGATAGCAACTACAAGTACAAATATAATACAAGTATATTACGCTACATTACACAACACCAACTACACTACACTACACTAATTACATCTAATTACAATACACTACGCTAATTGCACTACAACTACAACTACAGCAACAGCAACAGCAGCAACAACAACAACAACTACTACTACTACCACTACTACTACTACTACTACTACTACTACTACTACTTCTTCGGCCACCACCACCACCACCACGGCTACAACTACAATTACAGCTGCACTTCATTACACTGCAATACATTAATTAAACTGCAGCACATTACAGCTACAAATGCAAATGCAAATACAACTACACTACCGTACACAACACTACGCTACACTAATTACACTACACTACAACTGCAACTACCACTGCATTGCGCTACACGACACTACACTACAACTACAACTGCACTACTTTACGCTACAATACACTAGACTACAAACTACACTATACACGCTACAGTACATAACACTACAGTGCACTACAATACATTACACAAATTACATCACACCACACCACAACAACTGCAACTGCACTTCACTAATTACACTACATTACAACTACAACTTACAACTCCACTACACTACAACTACAACTACACCTACAACTGCACTACACCAAACTACACCACACTACATCCAGCAGTTGTGGTGAGGTGACCGCTGCAACCATTGCAACCACTCCAGAAAACACAACTCCAACCACCTTTCGGTCCATCAGTGGATTCGCTCTGCCATCCCTGGGTCACAACAACCAACCCTTCCTATAGGTTTCCTATTTTTGAAACTTCCGCCACCGCCTTGTGCGGTACTACTGGTATATTTGGTTTTGATCTGTCCCCATATCTATATGGAACAACCAACTGGGCTATAGACCAAAAGAGTGACTGGGGGATCACCCGTCTGTAACTGCTAGGAGCCATGTTGTTTTTTTCTGCATTGCTTGCAGCATGACTTACACTTTGGAAACAAATACGTTTCAAGACCAAATATAGCTTGAATGATCTATGCAAGGTCAATCTCACTCACAGGACGACTATTTTCAGCGCAACAGTGAGGTTTTAGAGTTTCCGGGCACAAGTTGATCATAAATTGCCCGCGCAAGGCTGCTATGTCAAAGAATCACAAGCAAAATGCTCCGTTTGGGTATGGGTCAAATTTGGCATCCCCCAACATGGATGAGCACATTATGACACAATGAATATATAACATAAACATTTGAAAAATAAGAATCCTGAAGTTTGTGGCCTTGGTGTTCAAAATTTTGGCCGATACGGGTTTTGGCAAAGGACGGCACAAACAATGGCTGCTCCCGATTTCCCCCCCTCCCCAGGTCCCAGGTGATGCTTTTTTTACAGATTCTACTACTACCATATACTACCCATGTGCTGTTGGTTAGTTGAGTTGAAACCAAACCCAACTCAATAAAAAAAACGTGTATGTTGAAAATTAGCAATTGTATATATCAAATTGTATCCCCATGTCTTGTTAAAACACAGTATTTATAGCTTGTACATGCCCATTGCAGCTTAGCCATCTCATCAGCCCAGGCGCTCGAGGTACATACTCACGGGCCAGAATGAAAAGGTACCAGTCACCGGCACAACATTCCACAGCACCCTGAGCCCGGCACGTGGCTTCAGAACCATGGATGAAAAGAGAATCTGGTAGCCTGGTTTTTGGAAGAAAATCTATCTGATCCTTATAGATGTTCTTCTTCCCATATAGACAAATCATGGGTTTTGAATGGTGTTTGACCAATCCAAATGCGCCACTAGAACCATCTGAGCAGCATCTTTTGGAAAAATATGGAAACATAAAATATGTTTAAACATGGAAAAAGGACAGTATCGGGAGGTTTCTGGAAACGTAGATTTTTTTTAAACGCTGTCCGCCAGATCCAGATCTCTCACAGTACGATCCCAAGTGGGTTCTGAAAATAAGCTACCCTAGGCTACTCAAAAACTCAAGTCATTAAATGTGATTAATACTGATTAACTGATGAATTAGTATTCATCATCACTTTCCCCATGCATATGGCCATGAATTTGGGTATACCATGATATACCCCATTTCCGTTTCCAGACCCGACACAGGGTGTTGACCAAGTGTCATAGCGGATGCCACTCTTCACAGACACTTCACCCAATACCACAAGCTCGGATCCACACTCATCCTCAAGCGCTGAGTGGAACGAGTGGAACCATGTGACGCCACGTATCTGGGGGTTGTCGAACAACACTGTGGGATCTCACCACTGTGAGAACGTTTGGGATTTGTCTCAAAAGCTTGGGGCAGGGGCAAATGATGAATTTTTGGGAAGGGTTCAAAATTTGAGACAATTCATCTATTCATAGTGACTTTAGAGAACGGTCGTGATTATGATCATGATGTTGGCAATCATTGACATGTGTGTGTATGTGTAACCATTGTTTTTCGGTCATTGGCATTATGGAAATCGTGCGGAAAATACACTTTAAATGCACACATAAAGTTGTGACAGCAAACAGAACTACCTTTGTCGGTGTGTATGTTCTATGATGCGACAGGAAATGTGTCATTCAGGTTCATGATTCCAAGAACGGGCCAATTCTGCTTCTGCTTTCTGCCCACCTGACATCCACTCTTATTCAACAAGGAAGTCACACCCCTGCTTCACAGCACCTGACACAGAACCCATCATGTCCAAGCAGCAATTGCTGAGACCTTGTAGCCTTCCAGCAGCAGTTCCTCTGCTTCAGTGCTGCCAAAGGGAGCCCAACGAATCTCTCCGGACAAATAAATCTCCTGGTTCCAGTCCTGCCGGAGGAATCCCTAGGGGAACATTAGGGGAGCGATGCCGGGTCCCCAGCCTTGATTCTGTGCTGCTTCACTTTCTTCAATCACCAGATTATGATAAGTTCACTATTTTGAGTTATTTTGTGAGTTGAATCCACATGTTTTTGTTGCGAAATTCGAGTATTTTGGCTGATTATACATAAATTCATGTTTTTCCCGTCGAATCTATGGATCAACTCCCGGTTTATCTTACGTTCACCCATCTTTACTTGTTGAATCCCATAGGTGAACCCCCCGGTGGCCCACACCCGACTCCTCCATGATCACTGTGGCACAGCGATCACAGGATGTGCTGCCGCTCTGTGCCGCGCTGGCCACGCAGAAGGCCGAACTCGTCTCAGCACCGCAGGTGACATCGGCGGAGTCCACCTTCGTCAGACCTCGGTGATGGAAATGTGGCGGCTACCCTGTGAAAACACTTAAGAACTGGAAAATCAGCATCTTAAACAGGATAACAGGTAAATCATGTATAAGTGGGCCAATCTCCAGGGCTACCAGTATATGTGACATTACCTGTTTTTTTCAAGAAGTGATTGAATGTGTGCGTGAGAGATTGGAGAATCCAGTTCTTGAGGATGTGAGGAAAATTTGATGATTTTTCTTGTTGGGAATTGTGACATTTTTTTGGAAAAAATGTTCCAATCCAATCTAGATAGTTCAAACCAAGCTGAAACTAGTATAATTATATATATATATATAGACTAGTTACTAGGTCCCTCGTGGCATCTTATTTCTGTAATTCACTTGAAGACATTCCCACACTTTTCTGGTGGAAGCGCCTGCATCCCAACATGATGCCATCATGATGAAAATGTATTGCCTCATTAATCACTAAATCTTATCACATGCCTACCTACAGTTCAACGGCCGCATGTCAGTTTGCCCATTTTTCTCTTCCCTCACCATGGCACCAAATTTGGGTCAAGAATTACGGTTGAAACCCATCTGGGGATACCGTGCTGGTTGCTAATTCCAATCGTCTACAGAAAATTTGTCAGTTTCGTTGCATCAAAGCTGTCACTACCAACCATCCAAAACCAAGTGATCAATTCCATCAGGCGAATTAGTCATCAAGACAAAAGCCGCGGTTTCGCTCAATAGATTGGTTTTCAAGTTTTTCCCCACCTGTCAGGTGAGGGTTGTTAGATTTTATGTCAGCCTGCCCGCCCCCTTCCTTCCTCCTTCCTTCCTCCTTCCTCCTTCCTCCTTCCTCCTTTCCTCGCCGGACCTCAACTGCAAGCTCTATAGATCACAGTGTTCCCCGACCCCAACAGCAGCCTCTGGATCACAGTGTTCCCTGCCGGACCCCAACAGCAACCTCTGGATCAAAGTGTTCCCCGCCGGACCTCCACCGCAAGCTCCAGATCAGAGTGTTCCCTGCCGGACCTCAACCGCGAGCTCCGGATCAGAGTGTTCCCCGCCGGACCTCAACCACAAAGAAACTCCGAAGATATGCCAGATAGAATGCCAGAAAAGAATGTCAGAATAGATGCCAGATAGAATGCCAGAAAAGAATATCAGAAGATTATACCACATATAAAGATGTATATATATATATATATATAACTATATAAATAATTATATATATATATATATATAATCACTACCCTTTTAAGGAGGGGGACGTACCCAAATTGAAAGACACAATTTAGACGTTTTTGAGGGAGGTGGTCCTGTTAAATGTTGGCAAGCATTGATTTTTTAACCGCGTCTTATTTGCAAGATTTCATTTTAGTAGGTCCCCTCATTCTTTACCGGATTTCATTCATTTTCCTATAAAAAAACGCAGGGGGGCGTTCAATATTGTCCATTGAATTTCTGAAAAAAAATGTAAGAAACTGAAAAACATGTAAAAAAAATGTGAAGGTCTGCAAATAGCTGCAGAATTGCAGAAAATCAAACATGCAAACTGGAAGTGTGTAGGTCCCAATTGCCTGGTATTTCCAATACATTCTACACTTTTTCTACATGTTTTTGCCATTTCCACATGTAACATAGAGGTATAGAAGGTATATTATTCCTTGCAAATTACTGGAAAAAACATTGAACTTCAAATAAATGTAAAATTAGATGTTGAAGGTCTTCAAATTTACCTCCTACCTATGGAAAAAAAAACAATAGAATACAAATTCAGATCTAATGGACCTCAAAAGGACTTCAAATGAACCTTTATGATGTCCCCATGGTAAACCCCGTTTATGTACCTACATGATCGAACTTAAACACCCTTCTGCCACGGTTCCTATCTAGACCCCCTTATGACCCTCCAACCATAATATCATATAAGATAATAACAATCTACACATGTGTCATGCTGATTCTGAAAGGAACTGTGGAACCTGAGGTGTAGGATGGTTACATTTCTGAATCGTAGCTTTACCTTTTTTTTCGAGCACTTTCTGCAAGGAACTATGGACCTTATGTATAGGATGGTGTTTTTAAAAAATCTTATATTTATATACCTTCTTTTTTTAAGCACTTTCTGCAAGGAATTGTAGGCCTCAGGTGTAGTATGGTTACATGTCTCTATCTCATTTTTACCTTCTTTTTAAGCAAGGAATTAAGGACCTCAGGTGTAGGATGAATGATTCTATCTTATCTCCACCTTCTTTTCTGAGCACTTTCTGCAAGGAATTATATAAGGACCTCAAGTGTAGGATGGTTACATTTTTTATCTCATCTCTACCTTCTTTTTTAAGCACTTTCTGCCAAGAATTATAGGCCTCAGGTGTAGGATGGCCACACTCTTCCCACCCCAGTTTTACCTTCTTTTTCGAACACTTTCTGCAAGGAACTATGGACCTCAGACATAAGTTGATTACATCCGCACAAAGACACCTCACAAACAGTTTACAAACTGCTTGCGGACATTTAACACTTTTTACCTCCCCCCACCCACCCCTATCCGTAGAGTACGGGGGGGGTTCGGAGGGGGGTACGGGGTGACTATCTCTTACGGACTTTCACCCCCTCTTGACGTAGGAGGGGTCTAAGATACATATAGCCTTCCCCATCGGGGAAAAATACGCAGGGCCCCGTGCTTACACCCCACGAAAAGGGTGGTGATTATATACCTGGACCAGCAAACGAGCAGAAAAAAAAGGTTGTTTTGGTCAATGACCCTGTTTTTAGCCAATTGACCTATTTTGGGTCAGATCGGGCAATTCAACCCAAACGACCCAAAATGGCAGAAATCTGGCTGAAATCAAATTTTCTATGTGTTTCCATGGTGTCCCATCCCATAACTTCACTTTCTTTCACCAAAGTTACACTTGTGGCACTGATTCACCCCTGACGTGTTTGACTGGATCCATGGGGCCTGCGCTTTCGGGCCTGAGCCCCCGCTATGCTTTGTCTTTTATTCTTTGCAGGGGTGGTGCATTGTTCAGGGATTGGATGCCAATTGGCAAAAATTTCAATGCTGTATGACACGTGTTGTTCAGATTCTGGCTCGCAAAGCTGTACCATCTGAGACAGGTGTGTGTTTGTCTGCGTGTGGGACTTCACGCATACAATTATTTATTTGGCATTATTCACAAGACCTAAGGCAGTCATGCAAAACACGTATGATTCACACGTGTTCACGCCGCAGATTTGGGATGACAACTCCCCGCAAAACAGCAAATCGTCAATTTTCAAGTTTTTTCGGGCCAAAACTGCCCCGCAAATCGGGCGCAAAAACCCGCAATCCGCACACAAAAACCCGCAAATGGGCGCAAATCAGGATTTCTGCCCTGATGTGTTTTGACAAAATGTATTTTATCGCAGCAAAGCTAGGTTTAAATGGCAAATTCTTTTGATTTAGCAAAGCGGGTCACCCACCCGCAGACACACCAAGAGGGTTGATTGCTGGCTGCATGGCTGTAGCCATTCTTGGGATGCTTTTCAACACACTTAGTGGATCAGATTCTTCTTCATGAGGCCCTGTTCTACGTTTGAGCAGGGGGTATAGAAGTGCTTTTCAGTTAGGGATATCTTAAGATGATTTTCTTTGGTATGGCCCAGTGACTGAGGCTGGGGGGGTTGGCAAGACGAAGATCACATCGGAAGATGTTCACGGTTGTCACGTTCATGTCACCACCTGCTTCTTATATAGCAACACAGAAGTGTTTGGACCTTTACCGGCAGGAATTGCTGAAGGTTGGATGATTTGATGTGATGTGGCAAGAGACTCCACGTGTGGAAATAAGACATGGCCGGAAAGTTGAGATCGGGCAGAAATGGCCCAAACCGGGCAGAATTACCATTATTTTCTGAAACGGGCAGAAAACCAAAACGACCAAAATTTAATGGTTGTTTGATGATACAGGTATATTATATATTTAAATTTCCAGATGATATGTCAGAAACTATGACAAATAAGTGTCAGGGTGGGGATCACTCGAAGTAAAGTATTTTTTACACATCTGTACACTCTACCTTGTTTTCCCTTCAAGCTAAGGGGGTTAGCTGTGACTTTCCCATCAGTGCTGCTTGATCCAAGCTTCAATGATCGTGTTCCAGAGATCCAGCCTGGCATGTAGCTGACTCCACCGGTACCTTGCAGCAATGACACACACACACACGGATGTGAAATCATGGCAAACAACACAAAGAATCCGCTGATGGATGGTGTAGCCAGCAAATGCAAGGGATGATCAGTCGATTGGGATCATTATCCCATTTTCAGGGTCAAGAGTTCACCATCTTTCTTTTAGTTTCTGTAAAACCGCAAGCCATTTGTGTGCAATGGGAGGAAGAGAAGAATGATATCTAAGCTACAAATCCTCCTTCAATTCATTTAGCGGCCTCATTTCCCCAAATGATGTTAGGATCAGAAAACGGCAGGCTGATCAACTATCCCAACAGAAACTGTTCCATCAATGAACTCCAAGTTAATCCCAGCTTGTTTTTCTGGATTCTAGATGAAAAACAACAGCGGTTTGAGATGTGTTGGGATGTTTGGGGTTCAAAATGCCGGAAAACCTCGTACCGCGGTATCCCGCTGTGAATTGTTCGCCGAGGGCACTCCAGCATGATACTTCCGGCACCATGTAAGCTCGGATGTGCTGGTGGACCTTGTTTGGTCAAGCTTTGACGAACTATGGCCCTTGGCCTTGCAGAAGAAAGAATCCTGTTGGAAGATGTTCAAGCGAAATGTTGCACGACACATGTATTTACCCCAAATGTAGGGTTGCCTGAATCGTTCCTTTTATCCACTTCTCAGAATATTTGTCACTGGCCTACCGCTAGAGCTGGGCCAAAGTTCATGCAAGAAGCTTGCTGCTCTGTCCATCCGCAGGGATAAAACCCTACCGACTAACACTGCTAGAATTCGTACAGTGAAAATCCTGTAGCATTTCGTCATTGATCAGAAAGAGACGGTCAGAAATCGAAGGAAAGCTGCAATCATCGCAACCTCCTGTCATTGAAATGAGTATCCACAAGAATTGGCAAACAAACACACTCTACTAGTTAGACCACAAGATTGGATATAGACCACGTATTTGGATAGACAAATTAGGTAACTCGGTAACCTTCAGCATGAAGTCATCCAGTTTGGTGGGTTTCAGCATCTTCACCGAGCAACGTGGTGGTGGAACTGCTGGTTGAGCTGCTGGAGGAACTGGTACCTAGCGTCCGTGGAAGACTTTGGCTGTCGCTTTTGATGGATTTTGACTAAACAAATGAATTGAGCTATATCGTTCTATCTTTAGTTTTGTCAATATTGTCAACTTTGACTTTCTCTCTCGTTTCAGTCGTTTCAACTTTATATATATATATATTACGTATGATTATGATTATGTATATGTATGATAATATGTATTCTTTGCAACGTTAAATAGTCCTGGTCCGGTAGTAGTCTCAGCAACCAACTCTTGGAGACACATCTGGAAGATAAAATTGGTATATCCCAGAGGCCGCTGAGTCTTCGAAAAGCCTCAGACAGGAGTGCCCTGACCTTTTTCTATCTCAGATTCATCTCAGATTCATCTCATTCCTGGGACTAGGAATATTGATTAAAAAACTGTTGCATCAAGGTGGAAACCCGACTCATCACTGGGGCACTGCTTGTTGAAGTCGTGGTACTTGAAGTGCTGATGCCTGGTGAAGCCAAGCTAGCGATATGTGTTTCAACCTGATACCCTTCTGGCCCAGGTCTGCTGGGCATCTTTCAGGATACCTAGCCATGTCCCCGTCCGTCCGATAGTACCCTGATCAAGTTTGGTGTGGCTATCCTCACACGTGCTGATTTTATCCTCATGTTCTTTGGCTCAGATTTTGAATCTCAGACATCTGCCCTATCTGCCCATATCTGCCCTGCCAAAGAATTGAAGTACCCCCCCAAAAAAAAGAGAACGCGACGCATGGCCTTTTGCATCACCCAGCGTAAATTGCCGAACCACCGTTTTTTCGTCCAATTCCTTTTCCGTTTCGAAATCATTCATAGACCCTCCGACCCTCCGACCCATCAAAATGTCTTTCCCCCAAAACACATCGTACATTGCACTTATTTTACCCATCTTTTAGTCATCTCATGTCATCTCTATGGCCACTTGGAGGGTCATCCCCACTCTCCCAACTGCCCGACTCTTTAAAACCCAGCGACTTGTGGAACTCACAGATGTGGACGATGACCTGGGCGTGGAAAGCTCTAGGGATCCCGATCGGATCCCAAGGGTAAACTGGCAACATGTTAAATTACCTTGTCAATAGATGTTTTACAATGTTTACCTACATTTAATAGATTTTAATAGATGTTAATAGCATGCAATAGCAATTTTTCCAATAGTACGGATAGATGATATAATAATCCCTGTTGGAATTCGAACCAAATCTGGGGGTTCCATTCTATAGGGACTAAAACGCAAACCCAGGACTAGGGGGGGGGGATTTTCCCTATAGAATAGAAACCCAAGAAAACCAACAGCCCCCTGCCACTCCTATAAAATGAAAACCCAGCATCATACTGGCCACTGCTTCTAACAGATAATCCACTATAAAATGAAAACCTGAGTCCAAGTGATTAGGAAAAAGACACCCTATAGAATAGAAAACTGGGTTTGCAATGCCTTAAGTTTGGTTTCACTTTTTGGATCTGGGCTGGCACCATTCCACAAAAGAATCTACTTGGTGACTATTTTATAGAGGGGGGTTGGATTTCCCTTTTTATAATCACTTGGACTCAGGTGTTCATTCTATAGTGGATTATTTGTTGGAAGCGGTGGGTATGAGGCTGGGTTTTCATTTTATAGGAGTGGAAGGGGAGGTGTCAGTGGGCAATAATATTGTAAATACTGTGTGATACTGTAAAATATTGACACATACTGCAAACGAATAAGTAATCAACACTGTTAACGAATCAGTTTTCTGCAGGGCTGCTCCGAAAGGTGCCAGCCCAGATCCAAACGTGAAACCAAACTTTGGGCCTTGGAAAAAGCATTTTCTATTCAGTAGGGGGTCTTTTTCATGATCACTGGGACTCAGTGTTTTACTATAAAATGAAAATCCAACCACTCTTCTAAAAATGGTTCACAAGGATTTTTTTGCTTGAAAGGTGCCAGCCCAAACGTGAACCACATTTTGGGCCTTGGAAATAGCGGTTTCTATTCTGTAGGGGGCACCTAATCACTTGGACTCAGGTTTTCATTCTATAGTGGATTATTTGTTTGAAGCGGTGGCCAGTATGAGGCTGGGTTTTCATTTTATAGGAGTGGAAGGGGAGGTGTCAGTGGGCAACAATACTGTAAAATATTGAAACATATTGTAAACGAATAAGTGGTCAACACTGTTAACGAATCAGTTTTGTGCAGGGCTGCTCCTTTAAAATGGAGATCCAACCACTCTTCTAAAAATGGTTCCCAAGGATTTTTTTGCTTGAAAGGTGCCAGCCCAAACGTGAACCACATTTTGGGCCTTGTAAATAGCGGTTTCTATTCTATAGGGGGCACCCAATCACTTGGACTCAGGTTTTCATTCTGTAGTGGATTATTTGTTTGAAGCGGTGGCCAGTATGAGGCTGGGTTTTCATTTTATAGGAGTGGAAGGGGAGGTGTCAGTGGGCAACAATACTGTAAAATATTGAAACATATTGTAAACGAATAAGTGGTCAACACTGTTAACGAATCAGTTTTGTGCAGAACTGCCCCTTTAAAATGGAAATCCAACCGCTCGTCCAAAAATGGTTCCCAAGGATTTTTGAACGGTGCCAGCCCAAACGTGAACCACATTTTGGGCCTTGGAAATAGCGGGTTCTATTCTGTAAGGGGCATGTTTCCTAACCACTGGGACCCAGTTTTTCATTCTATAGTGAATTATTTGTTAGAAGCGGTGGCCAGTATGAGGCTAATCATACTGGCCACTGCTCGTAACAAAATCTAACAAACAATCCACTATAAAATGAAAACCTGAGTCCAAGTGATTAGGACCCCCTATAGAATAGAAAACTGGGTTTGCAATGCCTCAAGTTTGGTGTCACTTTTGGGTATGTAAACTGGATGGGCGCAATCCAGGTACCATTCTATAGTAAACACTGGCCTACCAGCCTCATCTCTATAGAATCGTACCCCCAGGTTTTTATAGAGATTTTTCCAAGGAGGATATATAATATACCTGGCGTAAACTAACATAGATGAATCACAAACGTGAAAAACACCGTTGTTGATGGGATTTGATAGGTAAATAATCGAATTTAACTCAATGGGGCCTGTTCATTTTTCTATAGCTGCGTTGAATTGCCAAATGGTATATGCAATTAAGTTGTAATTAAAGTTATCATAATGGGTTGAACTATAGTAATCATTGTAATTGCTATCACAATTAATTACTACAATTGCTAGAAGTGCTGTACTGAATGTACTTGTTACGATTATTTAAGATGATTAAGATCATTATTGTACTACTGGACTATTATTGACACATACATGTTTGGAGGCAATGGTACTGTACATGTGTTGTATTTTTTGAAACTGCAGTACGACAATTTTGGAATCATTCCAGAATAGTCTATTATGAACCACCTATCGCAATGATGTCCCAAATGAAAAGTAATGAAGAAGTTTTTGGTTGCTTTTGCAGTATCAGTATCAACATGTATCAGCAATCTTCACGGGAAACTTTAAGATTACAGCCCAATGGTGAGGCCATCTATCAAAGCAATTCTGGCGAAGAAAAACATGGCCATCACGGCTAGAAATATCCCCTTTAGTTCGATGAGTTTCCCAGCTAGAAACCTTTAGTATAGGGGGATTTCTTAGCCAGCCAGGTTTGAGGCAGATCCAACGAACTTGGTACACTGGTGAACCCCAGAATAGCTGGTGAATAGATGTTGATCCCTCCGAAATATCATGAGCAATCATGAGCGGTTAAACCATACTCAGCTTTCAAAACGTTGCAACTGGCCCTGACCACTCAACAACAGTAGAATTGTTATTAATCTGGTGTCAGACTGCTGATGATAGGTGACTTCTCGCTATTTGGAGGACTAAAATAGTCAAGCCTCCTCATGAAGCGAGCATGATAATCTACAAATCCACTACACCTGCAAAAATCCAATCCCGAAAACTTTGCCCAATCCAGAAACCCAACAGGTTTGTGAACAAATTGGAGCATACCACACTTTATGGTCATTTCAATATATTTTAATGAGGAAATATGATGAATATTGATGAATTTTAATGGGAAATGTATGTTCTCAACATTTCTCAACCATGGGATTCTCGGCTAGGACGAGTGACGTGGAGCTACTGGTGGAAATGGAAGTACTTGTAGTGGAACTGCTGCTGCTACTAGTGCTGCTGACACTGGAGCTGCTACTGCTGGTTGAAGTTGTGGAGCTGCTGGATGTAGAAGTGCTGCTAGAAGAAGTCGTCGAAATGGTGGTGGAGCTACTCGTAAGGCTGGTAGATGATCCGGTGCTGGTTTGGCTCGAGCTCAAGGTAGTACTTGTTGAAGATAAGGAACTTGTTGTCGAAGTTGTTACTGTTTTCGATGTCGTCGTTGTCGTCGTGCTGGAGACGCTTGTGCTGGTACTACTGGCTGATGTGCTCGAAGTGCTTGTGCTGCTTGTTGACGTGCTGGTTGTTGAAGTGGCTGTTGCAGTAGTGCTGCTAGTGGAAATGCTAGAGGTGCTCGTACTGCTTGAGGATGTGCTGGATTTACTTGCGCTCGTACTGCTACTTGTTGTGCTTGAGATAGAACTTGTCGTTGAGCTAGTTGTGGTTATGGTGGTGCTGGAGGTACTTGCGCTGGTACTACTGGTTGATGTGCTTGAAGTGGTTGTGGTGCTTGATGACGTGCTGGAAATTGAGGTGCTGCTTGTTGAAGTGGTGGTTGCAGAAGTGCTGCTGGTCGTAATGCTTGAGGTGCTTGTGCTGGTTGAGGATGTGCTGGAGGTACTTGTGCTAGTACTGCTGCTTGTTGTGCTAGAGGTAGAACCTGTACTTGTGCTAGTGCTAGAGGTGCTAGTGCTAGAGGTGCTAGTGCTCGAACTGCTAGTTGACGTGCTTGAGGTGCTTCTGCTGCTTGTTGAGGTGCTTGACGTTGACGTACTACTTGTCGAAGAGCTCGATGTAGAAGTGCTGCTTGTCGACGTGCTCGATGTAGAAGTGCTACTTGAGGATGTGCTGGAGGTACTTGTGCTAGTACTGCTTGTTGATGTACTCGAGGTAGAACTTGTAGTTGTGCTAGTTGTCGTAGTCGAAGTGCTGGAGGTACTTGTGCTAGTACTGCTTGTTGATGTGCTTGAGGTGCTGGTACTGCTTGTAGACGTGCTCGATGTTGAAGTGCTGCTTGTTGAAGTGCTGGTGGTGGAAGTGCTTGACGAGGAAGTGCTGGAAGTGCTGGTGCTACTTGAGGATGTGCTGGAAGTAGTTGTGCTACTACTGCTGGTTGATGTACTTGAGGTGGAAGACGTAGTTGTGCTACTTGTGCTTGTAGAAGTGCTGGAGGTGCTAGTGCTCGAACTGCTAGTTGATGTGCTTGAGGTGCTTGTGCTGCTTGTTGAGGTGCTTGACGTTGACGTACTACTTGTCGAAGAGCTTGATGTAGAAGTGCTGCTTGTCGAAGTGCTCGATGTAGAAGTGCTACTTGAGGATGTGCTGGAGGTACTTGTGCTAGTACTGCTTGTTGATGTACTCGAGGTAGAACTTGTAGTTGTGCTAGTTGTCGTAGTCGAAGTGCTGGAGGTGCTAGTGCTGGAACTGCTTGTTGACGTGCTTGAAGTGCTTGTACTGCTTGTTGAGGTGCTGCTTGTGGAGGTGCTTGATGTGGAGGTGCTGGAGGTGCTTGTACTGCTTGAGGATGTGCTAGTACTGCTCGTGCTTGTACTGCTAGTACTTGTGCTTGAGCTAGAACTTGTGGTTGTGCTTGTTGTCAGGGTCGTTGTGCTTGAGGAGCTTTCACTAAAACTGCTGGTTGATTTGCTTGAACTGCTGGTGCTACTTGTTGA